GAGATGTTTGTTTAAATTTCTGTTGGTCATGAGCAAAAAGCAATGGGGATGCATCTGCCAACACAGAAAACCAAATGATAGAAAACATTTCCTTTATTTTTGTTATTTATTTTATTTTTTAATATTTATTTTATTTTTTGATTTTGAGGGAATCTTTATATTAAAATGTTCATTTTGGTTTGTTTCAGTGGTTTCGGCACAAGGCTTACAGGCAAAAGACAAAACTGGGTCTAGTGACCCATATGTTACAGTTCAAGTTGGAAAGAATAAAAGAAGGACTAAAACCATTTTTGGAAACTTGAACCCAGTATGGGATGAGAAGTTTTATTTGTGAGTATATAATGTGAAACTATTGCAAATATTAAAATATTTGGGAATAAATTTGACAGGTATGCAAAGCATACAAGCAATAAGTATCTCATATTTTAATTATCTCTTATGCAGGATTTACAAAAAGAGTGACCAAAATACTAAAATCACTTAATACTCTCAAAATAATATTTATTATTTATTCTTCATCGTTGGAAGTAAGTGAATAAAAAGACTATTTCAAACACTTTTTTAAAAAGTGGAACAGTCGGGGTGACTTTGCAGCATGGTCTATGACTTGAGATGATCCAACATAGCTGGGAATTTACAGGCTTGATTCAGCAATATCTTGATATCTGAAGATTTGTGACTAAAGACAGTAGAAAGACTCTGGGCATCACGCAGCCCATCACTTAAGGTAAAACCACACCTACGCTATGCTATACCGATGAGATGGTTGGTGATAACTTTCACAACCTCTTATTTTCCATAGGGCTATTTATTTTTCAACCTCTATATCTTGCACTGAACAGCAATAAATCATTTTTCTTTCAAGGGTGCTTTTCTTTCTACCACTCCTTCATGGAGAAACAAAAAAACAAAACAAAAAAAAGAATGACTTTGAATTATTATTTTGTAAAAATAAAAAGCCCTACCTAAGTGGGTTTAAAGGCAATTCTTTTTCCTTCCTCCTCCCTTTGCAAATCATTTAAATATGCCTCTTCCAGACTTCCCTCATGCCAAGGCCATCACAGATCTGCTTTCTGATGCTAAATAATACTTTTCATTGTGCAATGTCTACAATTTAATATAAATAGAGTCATATAGTATGTACTCTTCTTTTGTATGGTTCCATTT